TGCTACAAAACAAGAACATAATATTGCTTTAGTCCTCTGACATTACAGAATTTATTCAATATGATGGGAAAAGTAATACGAGCAAGTAGATACTAGTGATGTGCGGTGACATTTGATAATAGGGAAACTTTGCCGGCTCTGATAAAAATCATTGGAAGCGTTATGCCATATTTTGGTGTATAGCATCCACGAATTAAAAGGTTGGTGAGGTTGGTGTTCTGTAAAACGCATACGCGAATGCCTGTAATCTGGCTGCTTCACACGATTCAGAATTTTTCGCCGTGGAAGCTGTCCCGTATTCGACAATACAGCGCTTCCATTGGGAATATGCAAATACGAAAATATATTCGAATATACAATAGGAATCTTATCATTTTTTTCACATGTAGTATAAAAATTTGTAATAAGATACATAATGCGGTTATAATAAAATACTAATTTTAAGTAATTCAAAATATATTAAAATATGAAAATAATCGCATAATATGTATTTATATTTTAGAAAATACAAGGGAAGCTGCGCTTCCACAGCTTCCATGGACGGCATGCCACTGGTAGATACAGGGCTGAATATAAATGACGACACACTTCTCGCAAAAGCTGGATTGCCATCAAGGAGGATTGCCTGGATATTCCACTTGAATTAATGTATGAAGAGTAAAACCATTTTTATGCACGTCTCTTGTTTAAAATTCCAATAACAGGGTTTTCTTCGTGTGTCATATTACATGTGAGTTGATTGGTTACACGTAAGGTTGCAGATAAAACTGATTGTTTCATTTGTGTTGATGGTTTATTTGGAACATCAGAATTTTTGTTCTTTCATTTTTCAAAAATCAAATGGTGGTTTAATCAACCCTTCAACCCAGGGCCGGATTAACCCACTTTGGGGCCCTAGACATTTTGAAGAAGAAAATTTCAATTAATAAATTTTGTTACTATTATTTCTATTAAATCGCATACGGACACTGCATCTGCTTAATAAAAAATAAAAGCAAAATTATTTAACAATATTTCACAGGATTCAAGAATACATATAGTTAATATTATTCTTATCGCTATAAAAATAATTCTAAATTATTGGGAGTTCCCTTTTACTTTCAATTAGAAAAAACATAAGAATACGAGGGTTGTTCAAGAAGTTCCTGAACTTTATTTATTACAAAAAAAAAAATACTTCACATATTTGTCAGGGTCTTCTTCAAAGTAGTCTCCTCCGCAACGTATACACTTATTTCAACGGTGTTTCCACTTTTTGAAACAGTTCTAGAACGCTTTTTCCGGAATGCTCGTAAGTTCCTCCGTCGTTTTTTTCTATCTCTGGAATGGTGGCAAATCTTTTTCCTTTGAGCGTGTTTTTTAGTTTGTTGGAGAACAGGAAAAAGTCTCTTTGTGTAAAGTCAGGTGAGTAGGGGGCTAAAAACTCACGAATTCGGAGGGACAAATGAGCCGGCGCGTTGTCGTGATGAAAAAAACCACTCGCCGCTCCTTCAAAGTTCGGGCCGTTTTCGCCTGATTCTGTCTCTTATGTGTTTCATAACACCAAGTAGTACTCCGTGTTGACTGTCTGGCCTGTAGATAGGTATTCGTGATGCACAACACCCTTTGCATCGAAAAAAACAGTCAACATCACCTTAAACATTTGAGCGAACTTGTCGAGCTTTTTTGCAGCGGGGGCTATTTTACCCACCCGTGGGAAGTTTCCGTGAAAGATTTTCGGAGTTTCACACAGAATTTCATAGAACAATGCTGCTCTTTCAAAGAGCTGATTTCCGCGGATCCTAGTTTTCGCCGAACCTCACAAACACCCCTTCACATAAACGGCCGTAACTAATCACCGAAACAAGATATTAACAAACGGGTTGAAGGAAGTTACTCCGGAGGTTTCCGCGGACACAATGACTCCAAGCGAATTATAAAATAACCAACTGGAGGCGCGCTATTCAAAAAGTCCGGGAACTTTTTGAACAACCCACGTACATTTTCTTTAGATTTTGGAATTCACTATAACCATATAAAAAGCAATACTGTATATTTTTGTTTATTATATACAATTGTCCAACAGAAAAATAAACGATCCTATTTACAAATCTTTTCAATATAGACAGTTTGACCGGGCCCTTCTAAAAACCGGGCCCTAGACATTTGTCTCATATGTCTATGAGATGATCCGGTCCTGCTTCAACCGATGTTGTCGTAATATGTATTGCCACAAAAAACACTTCAAATAAATTTTCTACAAAAGATAATTTTGTTAGTATTGAGAAAATCATTCACGATGATTGTGCAAAATGTTCTGAAAATATGTTTTCAAGTTTAATAGAACAAGGTAAAAGTAATAAACCTTTGCTTCCTCTCACCTACATGTTGGCATAATAAACCTTTGCTTCCTCTCACCTACATGTGGCTAAATACAAAGAAATTTGTTCTTTGTATTTAGGTTTGCGGTTACATTATGCGGTTAAAAAAACAGGTAATGAGCATTATGTTTACCTGTTTTTTAATTCGTAATATGCATTTCTATTTGCATTATTATTACTATGTACATTGATTATGCAATTTAAATTGCATTATTAAATTGCATAATGAACTTAAACTGCATTACTACAATTGCAATTACTTTACAAAGAAATTAATCATAGAGTATTCGAAAAGAATGAGTACTTTGGTTCCTGGGAACAAACAATATTTCTTCGGTATGAATGAATAACTCTAAATGAATGGAACAAATTTGCGTAATTAATACAAACAAACTATATATTGCAGAAAAACGTATGAGCCATCCATCGATAAATAACATCGGCATGTGTTGGGCATTCTCGTGCATTATTCTCTCGGAAACAGGCGCTGATATTGCAAAATGGTCAGCATTCCCGAGAAAGGCTTATGCCGAATTAACGCTAGTGGAGATAAATTCTATCACAAAAAGTTTCCACAAATATATTAATAAAGATTCTCCAAATTGCTACAAAATCTATCGTTGGTACGGTTCGTGCTAGGAGACCGGTTCTGTGAATGGAAAGAAAAGCACAAGATGACCAGGTGTATCGGATGGAATGTTGCCGGAATCGCAGTACCAGAAGTTCACGCATACCTCAAACGTCCCCATAGCGAGATAATCGTCGGCTGCGCTGCCCGACACAATAGTGTTAAAAGCGTCTTGTAAACAACTGTCCATGAAACTATAGAAATTGCAGTTGCCTTGACATCACATGACAAAATCGTATTCCCTGTGCAAATGCAAGCGGACATAAAGAAAAATAAAATTTGTGTACTCTGCCGAATTTTTTACGAGAAAGCTACACACGAGATACAAAGAATAAGATAAAGAGAATTTTTTTGACACTATTCAACAATTGTTAGATTTACTGATAATCAATTCGTTTTGCGCTATTCAACGAAACATAATTTATGGATTTTTTCCTCTGAACGCATCGTAACTAAAATAACGCTGCAGCAGTGGCGCACCAAAAGATTTTAAGGGGTTTTGGCTTCATGCAGAGAAAAACTAGTACAAACGGTAAAAATTTTTCCAAAATTCTTTTCCTAGTTAAAATTCATTTTTATATTTATATTCTGCAGTATCATCTATTTCTATACTGCTTATGAATTAGTGGTCACATAAGATACTAATTTCATTCAATTGGCATTAAAAATATTTTTATCCGTTCAACTCGGCTATTCCAAGAATAAATCCCAAGTGCACCACTGCGCTGTAGCAATTCTTAGTGGCACAATTTGAAAAAACTGCAAACTCTATTTGTTCCAACACAATGGTGACCTCTCATTTTCATAAAGTTCGACGTGTCTTGAATGGAAGCCCCTGAATTGGCCGTGGAATTGCCAATGACCCGACATTTCAAAATTAAATATATATTTCATTCAATTGTGAAAATTATTATGCTGACAATACCATTGGAAATTCATTCGATCATTTCCTTTAAAACATGAATTTTGATTTATTTAGTAGGAAACATGAATGGATAGCGATTTAAAGAAAGGAATAATAGCAACAAAATAAATCAAATGCAATAAGAGTCAGATTTTTATAAATTAAAATCTGAGGTTATAATGTAATTTTATTAAATTGAAACATTTTTACATTAAATTGAAACACATTGAACATAAATATATCAAGTATATCAAAACATGATATATGGCATTTCTACATTGGAAGGTTCTTCTAGTTTTCTTGTTTTGGGGGCGGCTTCTCATCGTGGTCTGTTCGGCATTACAAATTATTTGTGAGGGTACTTCACCGGGCGAGATCCTGCACCATATGTAAAACAAGTTATTAGAAAACTGCAGTGAGAGGATACTAAATAAAATTAGCGATAAGTTTAATATTAGATCGTAAACTTCTAATTCGGTGAGTGGAACAAAAAATAGGTAAAGAACACCATTAATTTATATTAAGTGAACAAATAATAAACAATTTACATACCCTTGGCTTAAGAGATTTTTCTTTCTGAAATCTTTCCCTGTAAAATGGTCGGAATAATTTCTATTTAAATATTCTGGCCCTTTCGTTTTCAAAATCTCGTCTAAATCAGTCCTTCTACTATTAATAACGCATTGAATTCATCTGAAAATCAATATAAACACACAGGTTGAATGATAACAATATTTTAAAGGAAGAATGTTGATATAAATGAAAACAATCAAATTGCTTATTAATTTACTTACACTTGTTTGTCTTTAATGTGTCTGTAAAACGACTCGCGATCACTTTATATCTTGTAATTAAAACACCAAAACATAGCGCAAATAATACTTCTCCCGACCATTCTAATTATTGTGAGGTATAATAAGTTCAAAACTTTACGTTAATACCCAAAAACGTCTCCTTATGTACGCGGCACAAATGGAGTAAAGTGTAGTTATCTCCTCGAACCACTAAAGGTTCTTTCTTCACTCCGGTTCTTAAATCTACAAAATCACAGAAATTATTACTTACGCAATTTGCTGACCGAGAAAAGACAGAAAGAATGAAAACTTACCTCCTAATCAGAAATCTCAACCGAAATGCAGCAACAACATAACAAGAATCTATGGAATAAACGTCTGAAATATCCGATAGACCTTCCTCCTTCTTTCGGATTATTTGCTCGCAACGACGACTCCCCTTTGTTCCGGGAGTCACATTTCGTCGCAGGCAAATCTTTGTCATCCTGCAATAGGTCGAAATTAAAATTATCGATCATCCCAGTAAAGAATCATTTTCAATTTCTTAGAGAAAAATCAATGGTCTACCTGAATTGGGTAAACTTTGTTTTGCCGAACATTCGGTTTGGCCATTCTTCTCCTACTAGAAAGAAATTCTCATTTAATATTAAACAAATCTTATAAATTAACATAATTATCCGTTCAAATTACCTCTTCCTCTCCATCTTATCAGTCGAATTTCGCAAAGAAACTTTTTGAGCGCACTTAAGCATTCCAACAACAATCGCAACAATTGGAAAACAATAAAGCAAAAACCTTTGTTGAAAAATTCATGATAATGACGTCATAGAATGCTGTATTAATATTAAATGCTTTTAATATAAAGAACTTAAAACGTTAATCTACGTTTTGTTTACAAATTTCGAGGTAAAACGAATAGGTAAAGATGTCTCCTAGCAGAATAGCTGCAGTTAAAATTAATACAAATACTTTAACGCTGTTGCTATTGAAGTACATAAGTAGTATCTTAGCAAACGTAAAAAATGCAACTGTTTCTTATAAAATGGTGTTTTGAAGCGAATGCGAATTTCGGGATAATGATATGATAACTTTTGCACAGGTCAATCGGTGCATAAAAGCTAATCACGTGACTCCTACTGTACATAAAAATATACATAAAAGCGTTGCTATTTCAGCTGACATTTTTAGAACAAAAATTACGGAACGAAGAGTAGTAATTTAACATATATATATATATTTTTTTACCTTTCCACTGTACATTATACTTTTTCTTTGACAATAGCGTCATTGATCTAACACCTTCCATAGCAAAGTTCTGAATTGAAATTACTTTACTTTCGTTTCGCATCAGATGGTCTTGTACAGTTAATGGACGTCTCGTGCGTCAATTCTTTCTGTCTGATCTTCGATTTCATTTTCTTAATTCCGTTCTCGAAATTAAAGAATGACAGTCGGACAGCCCGACGACAGTTGGAATTCATAGGTATATAATTCCATTTTCAAACTGCATTCAAATTACGGAAACTCCGCTGCAGATGACTGATCAGAATATTACATTTTTGAGATTAAGAAAAAGCACGTTCGGAATAAGCATACGTCATTAAGCATTTGTGACACACACGTCTGGTCTTCGAGACTCTATAGTGCTGTACGATAGCTGGTGAATGAATCCACGATGACTTACGCACTTCTTAAAGACATATTGTTAAAGCTAAGTTTATACTCGTACTTAATTGTACTTGGTTAAACTTTTAATTGCGAGTAGAAACAGAATTAAATGACGTGTTGCTGATTATTTTAATGGAAATTGTCTTAACCGAAATAGCATACAGACGAAGATATAGCGAATTTGAATTGATTTATACTGTATTTGTTTTCGATCATTTCAGAACTTGTACGGACGTCCTATGGAAATAGATATGTCGAAACTCAAGCATTTACATAAAGAATCTTGGCCCGAACTTGTAAGTGTTATTTTTCAACGTCAAAATTAAAATTTTCTTATTTTACGAAATAAAATAACTGACTTTTCGTATTTCACACATTCGTTTCTGAAGAAAGAATCTTTTTAATTTCAATTTGTTTGTATCTAATTAAAATCTGCTTTTCGTTTTTTGAATTGTGAATAAAGTATTGTTATTAAATATTAACAATGTTTAATAATTAACAATAATTCTTCAGCATTTGATGAGTGGATCTTACAGAAATTCATAAATAAAAAAAGATAAAACGAAAGAATAGAAGTTTTCGTTTCTTGTGAGTTTCTCTATTCTAAAATTAAAAGTTTATCAAGTACAACTTATTAATAAAGTTAATATTTTGTAGTTATTTGATGAAAAATTATTATTTAAATATAAAATTTGTGCAAATATAAATCGTCGTGTCTTTCATTTATAAATTTTTACACTTATTTTGCAGTTAATAAAAGAAAATATATATTGTAATTACACATTCAAATTTACATTTAATGAGAATAACACAGAAATCGTCGAGCAATGTATACTAATTATTTTACAGCATTTTTTTAACTGTAGATTATAATCATCATCACCTTCGGCTTATTCTACCATTTATAGTTATGGTGTATCCTCCCTTATATAATCGACCTCCATTTGTGCCCATGTTTGCCTATCGCAGGGGTGGCCAACAGATTTTTCACGGGCCGAACCAGAGGTTGCCCTAGGAAGATTTTGAGGTGGTGCGAGTTCTCATTATGGTGTTACCCTGTAGAGACTAAATTGTATATAGAGATTACAGTTACATTTTTCACATTATCATGCTTTATCAACGTTCTACGCTGTACTTAAGAGATTTGTAATGGAGGGTTAACTCTAAACGGACAGCGAGTTGTTGACCTGTTTTTTTTTCTTTAGGCGTTAGAACTTTCACCGATCTATTCTGACTTTAGTAGCTAATATTGAAAGATTAATCGCGGGCCACATAAATCCATTACACGTTCCACATCCGGCCCGCGGGCCGTATGTTGGCCATGCCTGGCCTATCGTTTGCCACTCTCCACCACTGTTGTGCCTATTTGTCTCCTTACGTCATAGTCCCATCTTAAGTATGGTCGTTCCTTGAATCTTTTGACTCCCAGTGTATACCGCATTGTGATTCTCGTGGACCATCTGTTGTAAGTCCTCCTTGCCATATGTCCTGCCCGTTTCTATTTGAGAGATTTAATTCTGTGAATTACATCAGTTACCTGGATTCTTTGCTTAATCCACTGTATACAGTATAGCGTCGATTATCCGAAACATCGGTTAACCGAAAGCGTTCCAGTTCCAGTCGGCAAATTCAAATTTACGCTATTGCTGTGGCGCTGCAATATTTGGCTATGTCTTGGGCTAGTCCAAAATTATTTTTGTTGGTGCACCTATTTTAGCTGGCAACACTGGCCATATTGTATCGTTAAAAATTATTTTTTTTTTATTTTGCACAGACAATATAAATATATTGAAAAGTATAAAAACAGAAGAATTATATTTCGGGAGTTAACTCTTTCCGCCCTGTGGGCACTAAGATGGCCTCTCTTTTGCGGCTTCGGCCAGGCCCACAATAAGGCTGCCGGGTGGTGAGGGACGGGGCCCTGGGTATTTTTCGACCCGTTCGGATTCGAACCCGTATTCCCCAGAGCGGTAGGAATTTATTTCATAATAAATAAACAACTTGCAGCCATTATAAACCAAACATTTTCTAAATTTGTGCATTGTTGTGTTGTGTTTTTCAGTTTTGAACCTTTAAATGATAATAATTATTATATTAGTTTCAATTATTTCGATTGAATTGTGTTTTTCAGTTTTGAACCTTTAAATGATAATAATTATTATATTAGTTTCAATTATTTCGATTGAATTGTAACTTACAGAAGAAAACAATTCGGTTACATCCAGGTTATCCGCAATTTCATCACATGCCAGTTCATGCGGAATGTTCATTTGTATTAGGAACGTCCATTTAATAATCAGAAACTAGAGAATAAAAGTAAACACAATAAACACAGCAATTCGTAAAACTTTCTTCGCCTGAATTCGGTAATTATTTAAGAATTTGAAAGAGAGAAGACAAAGGAAATGACAAATAGTTTACACCAAATAAACACATGAAATCCTTATCCTCGAAAGATATTTCCGAACTTTATTCTATTGCAAATCCACAAAAATAAAAATGAAAATTTACCAAAAGTCAATTTATTTTTGTTTAAAAATTTGTTATAATTTAAATGTCATATATAAGCATAAATATTACACATTATTTATTGTTGGTCTTATTTTCATATTTGCATGTACAGTCGACCCCTCTATAACGTACGTTCCTATAACGACAATTCCTATAACGTAGCGAAAAAATTGTAGAAACTTTCGTATAACGTACCTCCTATAACGTCGTTTCGCGAGAAGATTGATAGAGTCTGGACCAATAGTGGATGAGCAGCCGAACTACTTACCTCCGACCCTGCGCCACGCTACGGAGCGGCTAAATTGAGTTTGCTATCGTCTGTTTAGTATTATATATAAATTATATATAAATTAGGTACTGTACATATAATTATATATTAATTATATATAAATTAGGTACTGT